AGCAGGCTGTGATATATTTTTGTGGTACCTTTTCTGTCATTGTTCTCTACATTATTTTGCATTTTATAATGTGTTAACAACATACTTCAGAATGTATAGTTGTGTCTCCAGAATAAATGTGAACAGTCAATGCATGGCTTATTATTTGGTTGCCTATAAAATGACTAGTATTCTGCTGTTAAATAATCCTATTTTTTGAATGTAAAAGATGCTTGGTATTTGACAAGTGCCTTTATTTGCATACCTTATGCTTTCAAAATTGGCCTGTACATACATTCCAAATGTGGGAGGCATGGTTAAATTTAAGTATGATGTGCATTTGTATTTGCAGGCATGTTCAGTTTCAGGCTCAGACTTAAAAGTCAAACTGAAGAGTGGTCCAGAAAAGTTCTTTATTTACTTATCTCATTAGCTTTTCAACCTTTTCTTAATCTATTGTGCATCTATGAATGTGAACTGTAGAAGTTACATTTTGATTTTTAATTTTCAGGTCTATCTCCTTATCTTGAGTGTGACTACGCTAAGTCTTTTACTTGCACCTGCACTGTGGAGAGCTGGAATTATGAAATGTGTACCAAGGCCAGAAAGACGCTCAAGTACCTGACAAGACTTTTAATAAGTTAAAAAGAAAAAAGTCTTCGCAGATATTCTTCTCATAGCTCATTGTATCTCTATGCAGTTAGAAAGCAAGAGGGTTTGGAATATTTATCTAAACATGCACTTGGTTATGAGCCTTATACTGACACTACATAAAAAAAATGTTTGGTATACTGATGATTGCACAGCTTTTACAAAATACACTGTCATATTAGAATCTGCTAGAATAACTTTTTTGTGTTTGATCCAATCAGTTATACAGAGTAGAAAATATTTTTAAATACTGTATCATGCAAATCACCTTGAATATTTTGCCTTGATGTGCCTTTTTTATTACATTGATTTGCATCTTGTACTGTTCATTCATAAAAGTCTTGTTTAAAAAAATCAAGTTATTTTTATGGTGCCTATGGTACCTTCTTAATGTAACTCTTGAGCAATTTAAGCGTGTAATATTTAAGAGTTAATATGCTGGTTTTGCATTGGTTGCAAAACATTTTCAGTGGTGTGTAAAGCCTAGACATTTTACACAAAAATAAGGTTTAGCAGCTCTGGCATAAAGCTTTAAGTGCTAAAATGCATATTCCAAAATGATGCAGCCAGCATTATACATTCATACTCTGATTTTTATGATATTTTTTAAAACATTGTATGTATTTTATTTGTATTGTAACTTTATTTGTTCTGGCGTCTTCTATTTATTGACAATATTTCTGACCTAAAGGTTGATTTAGGGGTGACCTGACTTCTAATTTATGTTTCAAGACTAATTCCAACTGTCAACACTTTCAATTATTGATTTACTGTTTTACTGATTGTTTATACTTTGTATTCATTGAGACCAAAATAAAAGTGTACGTATGGAAAACCTAACTCTGAGAACTTGAACTAGACATAGAAACATTTAAATTACTTACTAAAAGTTCTTGAGATTGGATGTCAGTGTTGATTCTACTTTACAAATTATTTTGGTTAAATTATTTTGAACAACACAGGAAGTGACAACTCTGGGTATGCATTGAAAACTGGCATAATTACATTGCATCAATATCGGATCAACTCGAGTGTCTTAAACACCAATGTTTTGAATGTGTTATATGAGTCTGGATTTTTTTTTTTAGTCTATGTTATAGAGTAAACTTTGTAAGAGCCCTTTCTTTAAATGTCGTAGAATGTAGTCTGCTCAGAGAAACTAAAGTGATTCATCTTGGGACTTTTTATCTGCCATGTCCTGTTTTTATTACACTACAAAGATGTATTTAATAACTATAAAGACATATGTACAGTAGTAACATTTTCAATCAAGTATTGTACTGTCATATGAAACTGCCATTTTTGTGAGTCAACTATAGAAAGATGCATGTTGCATATGTACATTAGAATCTAACATGCCAATTATTAAATCTACAAGAATCCACTATCTAAGCAAATAGTATTCAGATAATAAACTTTCTTTTAATAGAAAGAAACTTTGAATCTGCTTTACCATTTTTATTTCAGCATCAGACATTCAATTTACAAAAGGAATTCATCAGCCTGTTTACTTATATAGCAGTCAAAATAACTTACTATTTCACACTTAAATGAAGCTCTAATTTATGCCAGGATATTGGCAGATTTTCCAAATGTCCTGTTTAAAAAAAAAAGGTGGGGGCAGGAACCCAGAATAAAATATGAATCTGCTATGGAGAACTTTTCCTTATGCTATTGAGTAGATTATGTCAAAGAAGATCTATCTTTTATTAATTTTCTTTTGAAATTAAGACAGCCATGTGAAAGGAGAGTGGTATTTTGGTCATTAGCTGGCTTGAAACACGGATGTGCAGATGCGCTATATTTGGACAGATGTTGCTGGTCCAGATATTGAATGTAATTTGCATAAATGGGACTGACTCCAGATTCAGTCAGATGTCCTGAGAAGTTTTAAGAATTTGAGAGAAAGATCCTTCCCTGTGGAGCAGTCACTGTTTTTGCCCCTCTTTTGGCATTAGATAAAATGCCTTATTCTAAATCTGTATTGCAATATTTATTACTCGGATGTGCTGAGGAAGACCCTTCAGTGCAGGATGATAGGAGATCATCACATTTATCTTTGAAACAACTGAGTTCCTGTTGCATGGCAGAAGGCATTTCAGTGGTGAAGGCCCTGCACTTAAATGGAATAGATATCTCATTTCTTCTCTCATATCTTTTGATATGAGTGAGGCTGAGGCCAAATCTAGTGAGAGATGACACCATGAAAATAAGCTATCTTGTGCACAATTCTGTCATGCTTCCATAGCCTGAACTTGAGTGACCTATTCTCTTTTGAAAATACACTTGAAAGAAAATTAAACAGCAAAGCATAAGAAAAACACTGACCAACACTACTATCATGAAGAAAAGCCAGATTAAAGTGCAGGGGTAAACGCTGTAGTATTGAAGGAAAAAGATACTCAGCGGTATATATATCTGAAGGCAGTCATTAACCCCCCAGAATGTGCTGGAACACTTGTGGGGGTTGTAAACAAGGGTTGTGTACGTGCTCTTGCACCAGCAAGAGGAAAAACAAGTGCTGTACCTTTTAATTTAACCACTTCAGTAGTACTTTAAACCAGGGGTCGGCAACCCCAGCATAGGTGCCAGAGTGTGGCACATGAAGGCGTTTTGCTTGGTACATATGCCTTGGGGCATATGGCAAGGAAAGGACTGGGGCTGTGCTGCCACAAGGATCACAGGGCCCTTGTGGCTCCTTTGCCGTCCGCCCCAGCACATCAACACCTTACAAGATGAGGTTGTGGCTGCTTTTGGCACTCTGTGAAAAAACATTGCTGGTTCCTGCTTTAGACAGAAAGGCAGTAAGTGGCCTGGAAGGTCTGACTATGATGGTGAGACAGGAGGCAGTCTTTATGAAGAAAAGATAGGCTCTAAATGAGATGTTTTTCTTGTCTCAAGCTGCAACTTGCATCTAAGTTAGTCAGGGGGGCCTGCTTACCTGGAATCCACCATGCTTCAGGGAAAAGACTCTGCTTTGCTGCCGAACTGGGCCTTCAAGGTTAGAAAGCTACAGTACAAGTTAAAATGCAAAAATCTAGAACTTGGTTACAAAATAATACCTTTTATTAGACTGACTGAGAAATTGCAAAAAAATAGCTTTTTCTGCAAGCTTTTGGGGTCATGTGGTACAGATTTGCTTTCCCCCCCTTTCATCTGTCTCTAGTTAATCTTCTTTCAGAGGTAGGGGTGGAAACATGGGGGTACAGCATTTAGCAGAAGGCTCATTACCCCTCTGATCCTCAAAAGGACATGGAAGAATTGGAGACGGTCTGAAGAAGGGCAACAGGGCTGATTAGCACTATGGAGGGGTTTCCACAGGAGGAGAGACTAAAAAGGCTATGCCTGTTCAGTTTAGAAAAGAGATGCTTAAGGAGGGACATGAGAAGGGTTTACAAAATACTAAACTGTGAAGAGAAAGTAACTAGGGAGTTATTACTCTCACAACACAAGAATTAGGGGTCACAAAATGAAATTAGTTAACACAAGGCAGTTCTTTTTCAAGCCACGTGTCAAGGATGTGGATAAATTGGAGAGTCCAGCAGAGGGCAATGAAAATGGTTCAGGTTCAGGGGCTGAGGGAACTGGGCTTATTTAGCCTAGAAAAGAGAAGTCTGAAGCAGCCTTCAACTACCTGAAGGGGGGTTTGAAAGAGGATGGAGCTAGACTGTTCTCAGTGGTTGCAGATGACAGAAGGAGCAATGGTCTCAAGTTGCAGCAAGGGAAGTTTAGGTTACATATTAGGAAGAATTTTCTCACTAGGTGGGTAGTAAAGTAGTGGAACAGGTTACCCAGAGAGGTTGTAGACACTCCACCCTTGAAGGTTTTTAAGACCCATCTAGACAAAGCCTTGGCTGGGATGATCTGGTTGGGGTGGTCCTGCTTAAGCAGAGGGTTGGACTGGATGCCCTCCTGAAGTCCCTTCCAACCCTAATTTTCTCTGATTCTATGATACACACTTCTAAGCAGTACTTTTGTACCTACTTGTAAGGTAGGCAGGTACCAAGTACAAGCTATGCATAAAAATTCTCCATATCTAATCTAAACTTCCCTTGCTGCAACTTGAGATAATTGCTCTGCCACCACTGAGAACAGTTTAGCTCCATCCTCTTTCGACCCCCTCTTCAGGTAGCTGAAGGCTGCTCTCCAATCCCGCTTCAGTCTTCTCCAGACTAAACAAACCCAGTTCCCTCAGCCTCTCCTCAGAAGTCATGTGCCCTAGCCCCCAATCCATTTTCGTTGCCTTCTGCTGGACTGTCCAATTTATCCACATCCTTGACACGAGGCTTGAAAAAGAACTGCCTTGTGTTAACTCGTTCCATGCTGTGACCCCTAATTCTTGAGCTGAGAATTTAGGATTCCAAGAGGGATGGGGCATCGGGAGCTAGCGAGCAGGGGAGTGAGGAGCGTCCTGGACCTGGAAGCTGTACCTAATACAGGAGAGTGGGGAAAATCCTGGCCACAGCCAGACCTGCTCTCTGTCATGGGGCAAGATGGGCCTCGGCTCCGGCACCCAGCCCGTGGCAGCTCTTCTGAGGTCTGGTGCTGACAGCAAGGCAGCCAGCCCTCGCTTAAAAGAACACCCGTGGGAGTGGGAGAGAGGAGAAAGGCAGTGCGAGAGCTTTCCCTAGTACCACGCGGGCCTCCCTCCCCACACCGCCGTCGTGGGGGCGGGGCGCTGCTGCCCCGCCCCCTCGCGTGAGCCCACGTGCCGCAGGCCAACAGCCTCCCGCCGCGCCGCTCTCGCGCCCATGCTTCCCGCGCGGCCGCAGCAGGGGGCGGGGCGAGAAAGGAAGAGTCGGAAGGCGCGAAAAGCTCGCGCATGCGCGTTTCCCTCCCCCCTCCCCACGTCAGGGGCGGAGGATGCCCCGGGCTCCCCGCGTGTGGCCGGGCGAGGCACGTTCTCCCCCGTGACGTCAGCGCGCAGCGTCACGCCGGGGGGACGCACAAAAGTGTAAGTTTCAATTTTTTTTTTTTTTTTATCCTCCCTCTTGCCAAC